TTATCCTTCGCAGACATCTTCGCATAACCAGACCCAGAGACCACACGATAGGCAGCACCAGAATCTACCTTTGAAACTAGATCACCAGAAACACCCTTAATACCAATTCCATCCCAGGGTGCAGGGTCAAGCATCATAGTTCCTTTCTGCAATCTCCGGATATCATAAAACGAGATCCACTATCAACCGCGTGCACAAGAGCATGATCAAATCTGTTAGATCTAGATTTATCTCCGCCATGAATATTGTGACCAAAAATCAATGGATCATAACCATATCCATCCCCATCAAGATGATCACCACCATTAAAAGAGGATCTTATCTTATCAATATTATCCACATGTAAAATAGCATGAGCAGCTCTTTTAGACCCAGATCCATCTCCACCAATAATGATGTCAATATCATCCGCATGCAAAAGAGTATGATCAGATTCAAGATGATCACCGCCAATAAAAGAGGATCTTCGAGTATCAATATTATCCACATGTAAAAGAGCAGATCTTTTAGACCCAGATCCATCTCCGCCAAAAATTATGTGACCATAAATGAGTGGATCATAACCAGATCCATTCCCATCATTAATACGAGCAGATCTGGAAATAACCTCTAGGGGATCAGCACCACCATAACAATAAGCGAGACTACTATCACAGAAATGAGAAAGAAGCTCTCGAGGATCAGGAGGTTTCCCCTCCATAGGGAGAGGAACACCAATACGGGGTGAGCAAGCCATTAAAACCCTAGCATATCACTTGCAGTGCATACTTGGACCTGTGGTTCGGTAAAAAGTGTGTTACTTTGCTATGACTAGCAGATTGCCCTTTTTGTTTGCATATGTTGCATTGCACTTGGTGATAGTTGACAGGCTTGTTAGGAAACTAATGCAACATAAGTAATATCTTGTGAGCTAGATTTGCTAACCCCAAGAGACCCTAAGCAAGTCTCCTAAGCATAGAGATCTGAGAGGGCATCATCTGCTGATGGAGTGGGTGTACGATGAATAATTGATGCTTTCATGCTTTTGACAAGGTAGTGGAATAGACGAGAGGGATTTCATGGCCTTGGTAGGTCTGTCAATCTCTATCAGGTCCATTTCTCCACGCAAGTGTTCTTTGTAAGGCATTACGCTGAACAGCCGGGATGCATCTTCGAGGAGCATCCATTTGGCATATACAATGAGGAACAAATAGCTCATTGAGGGATCTCCTTGCAGAAGAAGAAGCATTATTTTCCACCAAAGATGTTTGATTCATGATTGAAGAAGCTTTCTCCCATACCTGGTCATGAAAGAATTGCCCTAGAAATAAGCGAATACCAACTGACTCCATGAGTAAAGCATAAGTTGCAAACTTTACTGAGTCCCAAAAATCTTCCAGAAAGTGAGGTTCACACATCACACAAATGATTAGCAACTTTCAATTGTAACTTCCAACAATAAAGACCCCAGTTGTATGAGTCATTTCACAAGTACCAGCATCTTTGGCTCTCACATAATCATATGCCGCACTTAGTTTATTAAAAGACCCAACAAGATTCAAACATGGACAAACAAGAAGCTCATACACTCTCATGCTTGAAGGTTCAAGCTTATGGACAAAACTTAAGGCAACTCCTTTACTGCCATCAAAGGCATAAGCCAATAGTGAGAGATCAAGCCAATGTGGTCGAAGGTCAACCCATTGTTGTGAGACCCCTTCTATTAGATGATTCCAATTTTTGCCACTTTTGTTGAGTAAAAGTTCAAAAAAGAACCATGCATGCCCCAATAAAATATGTGTCCAAACCCAACTTAATATTCAACCCATAAACTTGAGCACCCAAGACTGAATTTCTTGAGTTCAAGCATGCACACATGCTGATAACAATAGGAAAAGCAAAACTACTTGATCTAAAACCATGACAAATCATAAGAGGAAAGATTTTTACATCACTTCCAAACTTACCTCCTTTGAGAATTCCACTCAAAAAAAACTCAAAGAAATATTTGCCATTGTAATTCATGGAATCAAGCATCAAGTTTGTAGCAAGGAGCTGACCAACTTTGAAATGGGGTAATAAAAGAGCATTGGCAGTACAAGGGTCACTAATGAATCCACACTTCATAGCTTTATCATAGATTTTCTTATTAGCTATTATACTCTCTGTACAACGGCAGCGCCACTCTGATGTGTAAATCCCAGAAGAGTAGAATAAGAAAGTTGAAAACCATGGGCCTCCATCTCCCTCAAAAGTTTTAACCCATTATCAAAGATACCTGAGAAAATTCGACCATGAATTTTGAAATGAACTAAGATAAGTCCTATGTTCAACCCATAAGTTCTTTCAGCACAAAATACATGAGTTGAGATCGGAATCTTCCACTCGTAACAAAGCAATGGCTCAGTCTTTCTTTCACCATTGAGGACATCACTATCAACTCCATGGTGGATATTACTTATGTCAGAGATGTTGTTAAAAAACCAAGCTGAAAACAACTTTAGTTCCTTGGTATGCTTCTCCCATGGCCTCCCAGGATCAAAAAAGATATTGAGAGAAACAATATCCTTTTTGCAATTTTTTTAAACATCAGTTTCTCTGTATGTTGTTGGATTGAGAGTAGAGCCACACCCTCCTCTTTAGAAGACTTAGGTGGAATGTCCCCACTCAATGACAACAAAGACGATTCATGTCTAACCATCAACACTTCTCTTTAATCAAATTCTACCACCTATGTCTTCTCATCCAATCTCAAATCCCATTTCATTGTAGTCAGGGGTCGCTCTTTCATGTTAACAAGAAGGAAATCATTTGAAAATCCAACATTGTCTTCAACAGAAAGAATGTTAAAAGTTAACATTTCTTTCTGAACAATATAATGCAAAATTTCTCCATTATCAGACTTAGAATCCGCTATACTTTCATCAATAAAAGTATTAGGCATATCCTCAATTATGTCTACTTTTTCAGCAGATTCATCTCTATATGCATCTACTCGTTTCTCATTAGGTTTAGGACCCTTTGTGTCTTTCAATGCATCAACCTCTCTAGTGGAAAACTTAGGATTTTCATTTACTAAGAAATCACATATCCTCCTCTGTTTACTTGTGTGATGCTTAGATTTTGTTGTAGGGACAACAACTCCTCGAGCTAGAGATGTTAGTCTCCTAGCCTGGGATGATCCTGCGCCAGGGGTGGATTTGGATGTAGTAAAAAAATTTATTTGCTCACTTCTAAATTGATTTCGGTCAACTCCCCTATGACAATCACATCGGCTTTGGGGTAGTCAGTCATCCAACTTTTCTCTGCATTCATGCTCCTGTCGATGTCGTCGTGCATCAAACCCATAAATGCGATCAAGCATAACACCAGGCCGTTCCCCCTCAGACTCACGCTCTGATCTATGTCGATCCCCACTAGAACTCGTCCAATATGGATCTAACACCGTAGATCTCATCTTGTTCGATGTGCGTTGTTGCAATCTTTCTTTTTGCAACAACTTTTCAACCATCTCCATCAAGTAGTCGATTTTTTTGAATATTTGGTCATGCTCGGCATTCTTACAGTTGTGACCTCCACAACCATCCATCGTAGTCACTAACCCTTTTCGAACCATGCTCTGATACCAAATGATGCAAAAGGAGTCCAGGAAATTAAATCCGGCCTGCTTTCAATCTTAAACAAACAAAAAATCAACAATACTGAAGGGAAAAATATGGCTGTAAATCAAGCCATGGAGAAGAAGAAGCTATCTTTCTTCATTCATAAACAAACTCTCTGTAAAAATATTCCAGTCTAAGTCTCTATGGGGATGTCCCCCTCTTTTAATACAAACTTCAAAAAAAATAAAAAACTAATAAAAAAAAGGATAAATCTCTCTCCCTCTCTCTCCACCCCGTGAATTTGTCTCTCCCTCTCTCTCCACCACGTAAATTTCTCTCTCCCTCTCTCTCCACCACGTGAACCTCTCTTTCCCCTCTCTCTTGATATCCTTAACTCATCCCATAACTCCATCCCAAGAATGTAGGGATATCTTCCCCCCTCACGTTAACCACTTTCCTTAAATCCTCGTTTTTAGAATCTCTTTCCCATCTTTATCCCATGTCTTAGATCCACAATTCTAGGATCCTTCTTTTATGCTCAAGTACCTCCTTTCCTTATCCCATATTTCTCTTAAAATCTTCCAATCCCATAGGAATAGGAATCTCCCTTTGATTCACACCTTCCTTAACCTCACGTATTATCCCCATAAAATAGCAACTATCCTATTTTCTCTCCTAGATCCTCTTTTGTAGGATTTTCTCTCACCCGTGCACATCCCATACAAGACCCAACATCCTACCCATCCTTATTTCCCACGTAACCCATTTGATTTCCTCCATGTAAATAGGACCCCATAGAATCCCACGTGATTTATTTACTCCCATATACAGGTTCACCACAAAATAGAAAACTAACTAATAAAGAAATCTAAAAATTTAACTTAATCCTAATAATAAAATTGAACACCCACCCTAAACACTAATAAATAAATCTACCCAAATCCTTTAAAACTAATTTCTAAATAAATAAACGTCTCAGATGAGATTTGCATCAGAGACTTCATGAAACAGTACAAACAGCTATGATGCAAAGACAGCGGTGAACAAGACTTCCCCATCAATTTGCAAGGCTGAAAAAAAAAAAAAAATAGGGTATCAATTTTTATGTATTTTTAAATTGTTCGATTTGGGTACTATAGCAATTTTAAAGGATCAGTGCATCATTAGCAGTCAATCAAAATCGTTGCATGCAAAACCTTAAGTGTGCAGTGCACAGCAATTCTATATTATAGACAACAAGCTTCAGAGATCAGGTCATATGATCCAGCCATTAGATGAAGTCATATGCATGGGAAGAGTGAATTTAACGGGTAATTATTCAGCATTCTTCTAACAACGATAGTAATTCATCATCAAACATATATGATATTATAAATTATGAATCATTTGTAACAATGAGAGTAACTCCTACAAACTCACAGCTAAAGCCGTTGTAAATGGAAGCAACGACATCGAACCATAGAAGAATCTCCTGTGATAAATGGATCCCCTGAAAATAGTGGAGCACCTCTTTCAGTAAAATGCAGTTCACCTAAACCACCAACTAAAGAATATCAGCAACATAAAGAGAAAATCAGCCAATTAATATTATAAGCTTTGAGAGAACTTAATATGAATGATGGAAATGACCCATATGTAGCTCTTTGATTCAAAATGAAAATCTATAAAGGAATGGCAATAAAGATTTTCTAAAAAAAGTAACAATATGCATAAATCAAATACACTCATAAGAGCATGGAGAAGTACTCAAACAAAAGTATACGAAGCATTAGGCACTATCTTTTCAAGTGATGGCATTCATTTCATTACTTAAGCAATGAGCACAGTTTCATAAAGTATGAAACATAGAAAAACAAAAGGACACAGACAACCCACAGCTGAGCTTAGACATGTTCACGCTTGGCTTGCATGGTGGAAGATGCTTGAGCTTGACTCGAGCATGAACTACCCAGCTTGAGCTTGGATTGATTAGGGGCAGGAAGCTTGAGCTTCATTCAGCTTGTCTCCATAAATGAGCCCATGAAAAGCCAACTCAAGCCATAAACAAGCCAGTAATCAAGTTACAAGCCAAGTCAACCGATAAACAAGCCAAGCATAAGCCATACTTCTGGGCCACATCTGTTTTTAAAATTTGCATTTGTAAATATGATCTAAATTAATTACATACAATATAAAAAACAAGCTCAACCCATGCTCAAGGTAAGGCTCCTCAACTTCAGATCGGCTTGGCTTGGCCTGGCAAGGCTTGTCGAGCTACAGTATATTGTTCAAGCTTGGTTCATTACAAGCCAAGCTGAGCCAGCTCGTAAGCTGGCTTGGCTTGTTGACACCCTTAAACGAGTACAATGGAGAATAAATTCCACAAAATGTGAATGAACCGTAGAGAAGGACGTGAAACTGCAGAAACTTTGTAAAATGGAAATATTTGAAATAATTTCTGCAAAAAGTTTTTATATATAAATATATATATGGATACTATGGAAAAAGATAACCTACACTCAAAACGTAGGAAGGGAGCTCAACGCTCATGTTGGTTACACCATCCTTCTTGATGATGAAAAAAATGCCTTTGTTAGGCACAGGTCGTACATGCCCCAAAACCGAAATTTTCGTTCATGTTGGTTACACACTCTCTCTCTCTCTTCGTTCAAAAACAAAACTGTAAACCGCGCAAAGTTCTCGCTCAAAATTTCCCTCAAACAGGTTACACTCTCTCTCTCTTCATTCAAAAACAAAACCGAACGACAAACATCTCTCTCTCTCTCTCTTCCGCTCAAACCAAGTAACTCAAGTCTGTCTATCTATACAACCATCATCAAACCCCTATTTCTCTCCTCCCTCTCTCCCCCTCTCCTATCCCCTCTCCCCTAAAAGGCAGCGGAGCTTGGAGATCCTACAAGGGCCAAGACCAGCTGCTCCCTGTGACAAAACGGATACGCTCTCTCTCGTCTTTTGCCCTCCAACTCTCTCTATCTCTATATAGGGAAGCTCTCTCTATCTCGTTTTTCTTTAGGGCATCTCTATCTCTTTTTCTTTCTCTATGTCATTTTTTTTGGAATCTTTGTTTCTTCATCTCTCTCCAAATCTCTTTTTTTGGGGGCATCTTTGTCTAGGCATCACTCTCCCTCTATGTCTCTTTTTTTTTTAGGGTATGTCTATCTGGGCATCACTCTCTCTATTTATCTCATTTTTTTGGGGTATCTGTGTATCTCTATCGAACTCTCAATCTTGGTTTTTTCTTTGGGCGCATCTCTCTCTCTCT